GGACTCAAAAGGCTTTTATAGCCTTGGCAGCTCATGACAAGAGTCTCGGGTGATTACTGACATCATAAATAAGAGTGCCAATTGTTAAATCAACAACAGGAGTCACTGTGCACTTGCTCACCATGTATGAGTTGTACTATGAGGATTAATGGTAAAACTAGTCTTCAAACAGTACTTTACACTTTGTGTGTCTGTGTGGGTTCAAACTGTTGAAATCTTTACTTAGTATAGAGTTGATCTTCTGTATATAAAGATAATTAAAAATGAATTTTAATGAAAAACGGGATGGGAGAGGCAGTAGGAGGTGGGACAGTTTAGGGGTGGGAGGGCAGCATGGGGGAAGAATCGCTATATTCCAAAAGCTGTACCTATGTAATTTATATTTTAAATTAAAAATTTCTAAAAAAAAAAAAAAAGCCTATGAAGATACAATTGCTTTCCCTGTCACTAAAACTAAGGGGTGGAAGAGAATAAAAACAAAGACGGAAACTGAGCAAGGAGACTTTCTGCGCTGGCTTGTCCACTAGGAGCAGAGTAGTGACTTACTGGGAACGACCCACGTCCAGAGAAGCCATGAGGGGTCCCACAGCCAACACCAGCAGATGGCCAGGAAAGGCCACCCACAGAGGCTAAGCAGGCTGGCGGCTCACGGGGGGAACGGGGACTGACTCAACATCACGAAGAGTCTTGCGTGGGTGATGATGTTCTAAAACTGGACTGTGGCAAAGATTGTACAATTCCACAAATCTGGAAAAAAAACCTTTGAATTATGCCTTTTCTAATGAGCGAATTTCATGGTTTGTAACCTGCACCTCCACAAAGCTGCTAAAATAATAGCTGAGATAGCTTTCCTCGTATGACTTTTGAAACATAAATCTGAAATGATTAAGAACTGAAATCTGACAAGAGGAAATGAACAAACAGGGTTTATACACAGAGGTGGAGGCTGGGCAGAGTCAGCTGAGAATTCTCTAAGCTCTCACGTCCTCCTGTCTGGTCAGAGAAGAAAACTAAAAATAAACTGGTTGTAAGAATCAAATGGCACCAGCTCCGCAGCTCACTAAGCCTAGTAATCCTCCACCTTGTGGCGCCGGCACACTGGGTTCTAGTCCCGGTTGGGGCGCCGGATTCTGTCCCGGTTGCCCCTCTTCCAGGCCAGCTCTCTGCTGTGACCCGGGAGTGCAGTGGAGGATGGCCCAGGTGCTTGGGCCCTGCACCCCATGGGAGACCAGGAGAAGCACCTGGCTCCTGCCATCGGATCAGCGCGGTGCACCAGCCGCGGCGGCCATTGGAGGGTGAACCAACGACAAAGGAAGACCTTTCTCTGTCTCTCTCTCTCACTGTCCACTCTGCCTGTCAAAAAAAAAAAAAAGAATCAAATGGAGATTTAAAAATCTAAACTTGCCCTATTTAGTCATTTTTAACAGATCGCCTTTGTTTTATATTTTGGTGTGTGTTGTGTGTGGGACATTTCTTGTTGCGGGCAAATGCTGGTCTCGAGTCTGTCTCACTCATACAAATACACTGGAACCCAGATGGGTGGGACCTGGCATCCTACCACATCAGAGTAGAGCAGTACCCCCGCCCCACCCACAGGGCAGACATTCCTAGACACCCCGCAGATGCCTGGAACTGCAGATGGCACCAAATCCTGTAATTACAGATTGACTTGTTTTTCCTGTACACGTATACCTATGATGGAGTGTACTTGATGAATTAAGCATAGGTGGAGATGTTGGGATTAAGCTGGGACTCTATAAAGATACACTGTAATGGCCGGCGCCTCGGCTCAATAGTGTAATCCTGCACCTGCAGCGCCGGCACACCGGGTTCTAGTCCCGGTCGGGGCGCCAGATTCTGTCCCGGTTGTCCCTCTTCCAGGCCAGCTCTCTGCTGTGGCCCAGGAGTGCAGTGGAGGATGGCCCAAGTGCTTGGGCCCTGCACCCACACTGAAGACCAGGAGAAGCACTTGGCTCCTGGCCTCAGATCAGCACGGTGCGCCGTCTGTAGCGGCCATTGGAGGGTGAACCAACGGTAAAGGAAGACCTTTCTCTCTCTCTCTCACTGTCCACTCTGCCTGTCAAAAATAAAATAAATAAAAATTTTAAAAAGATACATTGTAATACAAGTTTTGTGAATGCGGCCTCCCCTCTTCTCCCCAAATCTCTTACATTGGACTCATCCTTCTCCTTGTTGGCCACAGCTAACTGAAGCCACGGAAAGTGAAATGGCACGTGGCCCAGGCTACTATCTGCTACTCAGCTCCCACCGGGATCCCATAAATGAGCTCCCGAGGGGACCCCTTTCCCAGCAGGAGCGTGCGTGGGGTCTGGGAAGAGTGGTGAGTACCAGGGTGACCCTGGGAGAGCTCCAGGACTGTAGCAGGTTGCCCTTGCCAAATGTGCCCCAGTTCCAGCCGTGGCACTGGCCATTATTTGTTGACTAGAATCCATTCCCCTGTTTTTCACAGGAATAAAGACACCAAATTTTAGAGGCCACTTTTACATTTCTTGCAGAACTGATGTGGGCAACTTTCAAAAAATGTCCTCTTTTCTTAAGATTTATTTTATTTATCTAAAAGCAGAGAGAGAGAGAAATAAAGAGAGAGAGGGAATCTTCCATCTCCTGGTTAACTCCCCAAATGGCCACATGGCAAGGACTGAGTCAGGTCAAAGCCAGGAGCCAGGAACTCCATCCTGATCTCCCACATGGGTGACTGGGGCCCAGGCACTTGAGCCATCTCCCACTGCCTTCCTGGGTGCACTAGCAGGCAGCTGGATCTGAAGTGGAGCAACCAGGACTCGATTCAGTAACGCAATACGGGATGCTAGCATCGCAGGCTGTGGCTTAATTTGCGGCACCACAACACCAGCTCCAGGAGAAGTTCTTAGACAGTGTGTGGGTGCCCTGTCCTCTCCTTGCTACCTGCATCGTGGGAGCCATGCTGGAGCCATTGTGGTCCATGAAGTGATCTTGGGAATGGAATCGACACGGTGGGGAAACAAGGTAAAATCAGCATGGAACCAGGTTGCCTACTGACAAGGGTGGAGGACACAACTCCGTGCACGTGGCTGGGCCATGGGAGGAGGCTTTGCACAGGACAGACCCCAACAACTCCCTCGGGTTTCTTGTATTTGAGGGAAAGTAAGGTCTGATCTTCTTTGTGAAATTGTTGTTTGGTTTCTCTGAGATTCACAGCAGAATGTAATCCGAACACAAACTCTATCTACAATATTTAATTTACTAAAAATAATGGTAGAAGGAAGATCACATGTTAGTATTTATTAAATCTGATGTTGTATATCATGGGTGTTTGCTATTTCTCATACTTTTCTCTAACTTTTACATGTCCAGTGGTTTGTGACTGTAATGATGTTATCCTCAGGGCTGGACCCAGGGTACAGAATCAAATCAGAAGCAGTTTAAATTTATGGTGTCTCACCCGAATAAGAACTTCTCGAAAGCACACATGTGCAATGGCCAGGGGCTCACGACAAAACACTCAGCATCACTGCCTGCAAGGGAGATGTTAACTAAAACCACGGGCCAGCACCCCACACCTGCTAAAGTGGCTTCATCAGGAAGATGAAAGATAGACGAGAGTGGGTGAGAATGCAGAGAAGGGAACCTCGCACGCTGGTGATGGAACCGGAAGCAGCACTGGGGGCTCCTCCAAGAGCCCAAAAATAGCACAACCACAGAAGCCACAACTGCACTGCAATCAGTGTGTCAAAAGATATCTGATGCCTCTGGCCAGCTGCAGCATTAGTTACAGCAGCCCGGACGGGAAACTCAACATGGATCCCCACGGAACAGACGTAGAAAATGGGGTTTATGAGAGCACTTCAAAAGTTTGCGCAAAACTGGAAGGAAAAGACGAGTTTACTCTGGTGCAAAAAAAAAAAAAAAATGTTTGAAATCCAGGGGCACTTTTTTTTTTTTTTTTTACATAGGATGCATTTTTCAAGAATTTTTGGCAGTACCCTCAGATACACACTGGGAAATACTATTCAGCCTTTAAAAAGAACAGCATTCTGTCATTTGGGACAACACAGAGGAACTTAAAGGACATCATGCACCGTGAAATAAGCCAGGTGCAGAAAGATCAATACCAGTGATCTCTCTTGTATGGAATCTTGAAAACGTTGAATTTGCAGCACAGACAGTAGCACGATGAAAACAGAGTGGGAGGGAGAGGCCGACGGGCACGGATGTCAGGTGCACAGTCTTGAGTTTCAGCATCCAACACGGTGACTACTGTTGTGAATCATGTACTATGAATTTCAACATAACCGAGAGACTGAATTTCAAATGAATCACCATAAAAATGGTAAAGAAGTTCGGGGAGAGAGACATTAATTAGCTTGATCTACTCATTCTACATTGTGTTTATGACTGTATCAAGCCATCACATTTGGTTTGACATGCAACCAGTAGATAGAAGATCTCTCTTCTGTGTCTCTGCCCCTCAAATAAGCAAAAAATAAAAAACTGACCCTGAGATTTTCATTTTTCAGTAACTTAGACATTCTCCATACTTTTTAGATTACCTAAAAAAGATAAAACAAAACAAAAAAAAACCCTCTCGAAAAAAAAAAATCCAGAAACCAGAATTACGACTTTCTTTTTTCGGAAAAAAATTTTTTTAATTTATTTGAAAGGCTCAGAGATATAGAGCTATCTCCCATCTACTGGTTCTCTCCCGAAATGCCCACCATAGCTGAAGGCAGGCCAGATGGAAGCCAGGAGCCTGGAACTGCACACAGGTCTCCCATATGCGGGGCTGGGACCTCCCTATCCCTCCACCCATCTCCTGCTCCAAGGGTGCACATTAGCAGGAAACCAGAGTCAGGAGCACAGCCACGACTCCAAGCCACGCACACTGACACAGGATGGGGGCAACCCAAGTGGCGGCTTAAACTCTGCGCCAAATGCTAGCCCTGGAATCACATCTTCCTGAATATCCAGTAACAGAATTGAAGAAGTCTGTGGCTCCATACCTCCCCAGGTGTCGACGTGGATTCTTTTCCACCACACGTAGAGGAAAAGGAGGGCAGACAGGAAGAACTGGGAGGTGGTGTTCGCCCAGGCAGAACCCCTGCAGGACAAGAAGTCAGCACTGCCCATCAGCAGTCTCCTTCCACATGCAAACCAGCTGACCACCCTGCACGGGCTCTCATGCCACGGCGGGAATCGCAGCCATTGGCTGAGCCCGGAAGTCCCGGACTACTTCCTTTGAACACTTGAAATGCTGAATCCACTTATACTGCACTTGTTCCCCCTCCACCAGGGTTGAACTCTCTGGAAGAACCAAACATTTCTGTTCATCCATGGAAAAACAAAAGAACATTAAGATTCAAAATCTCCACCTCTTCTCCTATCATAGACTTCAATAATGTACCAAATAATTTCTTAAACATAACTAGCTAAAAGGGATTTATTAAACCACGACAAAAATACAGGTCATAGCGGCTTTGCTTCCCAGGACTATAATAAATTGGCTTTCTATTGGCAAATGACCTTGGAGCCCCTTCAGCAGGTGTGATGCCCACTTCATCGTGACAAACGACGTGTCGCCCCATGCTGGCACAGAGACAGGAATTCTGCTCTCTCGCCTACTTTTTTCATTGCACTGTTGCACCAGCCAACGCCTTGAGCAGTTCAAAGTCTTTATTTGACTCCTTTCTACTTTAACATCCAAGGCACCTGGGGTTTTCCAAAGCTGCTTTTCAGGTTGCTTTGTTTTTTCTGGGCTGAGATACAATCACCAGCCCCTGCCCAGAGGGTGGTCAGAGCAGCTAAAGCCCGCCCTCCGCTTCCCTTTAATGCCAGCATCGCCACTCCAGGAGGAGCTGAGGCCTCCTGACCACACAGGCCATGCTTTTCAACTGCACCTGGGAACGTGTGCCCACCCCTACCTGTGATGGCAAAAACTTCTTCCCCCTAAAATAAGAGCAACCCCACTGCCCTTGCTCTGGGTCGCGGCTTCAGAAACAATTCCCTGTGGTCCCCTTATTTTCTGCAAATAAATTATTTGTGTGCCAACTGCTTCTAATGTTTCCCTTTAAAGGCTTGTTTGTTTGAATGGCGGTACCCGCATTAACCATGTGTGTAATGTGTACACACACACACACACACACACACACACCTCTCCTTACATACCTGAAACAAAGTCTCATGAGAAATAGTTGACGCACCTCTTCTTTTCCCTTTTTTTCTACTGAACTCATAATACATTTCATTTTTACAAAGTACTGGCCACGACCCACTCAACTGACTTCCATGTATAAAGAGACACCCTAGGGCAGGCATTTCACCAAGTGGCTGCTGGGATACCTGTGTCGCACAGCAGAGTGCCTGGGGTTGAGTCCCAGTTCTGGCTTCAAATTGCAGCTTCCTGCTAAGGTGCACCCTGCGGGCAGTGGTGACAGCACAGGTCCTGGGGTCCCTGCCAACCACAGGGGAGACCCAGGTAGGTTCAGCCTCAGCCCAGCCATGGCTGCTATAGGCACGGCTAGGGGGTGAAGCAGTGGACAGAAATATCCTTTCTCTCTCTCTTTCTCTCTCCCTGTCTCTCAGTGGAAGGAAGGGAAGGAAAGAGAACACACTCCCCTAAAGCATCCACAATCCACTGGGGCTGGGGCTCTATCTATCCCTGCGTCTTCAAGAGGGGGTGGGGTCCACACCGGCAGGTTCTCCTTTCTTCGTGGGACCCCCACATCCTCAAGCTTCCTAAAGAGGGGAACGTTCTCAATCTTACAATTCAGAGGCCTTGGGAGAATGCCTGCAGGCCAGTGACCCTCTTGTGTCTCTCTGCCTGAGTCACCCAGCACAGCCTCCCCAGACCACAGCATCTCCCTTCCCTGTGGACATGCAAGCTGCAGCCCACACGTGGCTTCTTCCAAAACATCGTCCCTATCCCTCCACCTGCTCAGCCATTCCCCCCCAGCCACTCCAGCTGCTCCTGGGCGCTCCCCGCTCTGGCTCTGACCTGTGGCATAGTGCACCTGCACACCCCGCGCCAGGCGCCTGTCTTCCCTCGACTGACTGCTTCACCCCCTGGCCCCTCAGCCCCTAGAACAGATGCAGCACCCCCCCAGACACAGTCTGTGCAGAAGGGCTGAGTCACTACTCACACCACTCCGAGGTGCAGGGCGTACAGCAGGAGGGCATTCATGCCCACGTTGAGGACATTCGCGGCAATCCCGGTAATGACTTGGGGCATGATGACGCCCTACAGCCGCCAAGCAAACAAGACATCATCTTTCAGCATGAGTTAGCCGGGTTCACTAGGCAACAGTTCTCAGAGAGGGTGAAGTGAGACAAGACTGGAACAGCCAGGAGTTAAAACAGACGTGCCTCTTCCACCAGTGCTAACCCCCACCAGACCAGACAGAAGTTTGTGAACGTTTTTCAACGACCAGGCAGGTCATGGTGAGACCACTGGCCGGGGAGATGCCAGGGAAAATGTCTGACCCTCTCCGCAGGGCTGCGTTTGGCTCTCAGGGACAAAATGCCCAGTGAGGCCTGTTTGCAGCAGGTGCGCAGTGAACACTCAGCCCTGGGGCTACAGAGCAGGCACGCCTTCCTTCCACTGTGATGCCCACTTGACACTATATGTCACAGAATGTTTCCTTCAGTAAAATGGCTTCGAGGATGCCATCTTGAGGTTTAAAGGCTGGGGGCGGGCTCAGCCGTGGACACTGCTCAGCCATCTCCTGGCCTCAGCCTGCTCCTCCTCACCCAGAGGTTTGGACCCTGTGCACTTTCAGAAATGTGTCCAGGCAGCTCTGGGCCCTCTTCCTCTAGGCAGAAGCCAGGCTGGCTCCAGGCCAGATGTCAAGCTGCTGGCCAGCACCGGAGGAGGCGCAGGATGGCAGGGACGGGGGCGTCATCAGACAGACTCGGAGATGAGCAGGAAAAACCAGGCAGACTCATTCAGGCATCTGTCCTGGACTGGGTGCTGTCCATCCACAAGGCCCCACATCCCCCAGGCAAACAGGAGATCCAGGAAAGAATTAGAGAAAAAACAACATGGCTTTTGGGTAGAAAATTCTCCAAGAATATTTGCTCTACGTTCCAGTACTATGGGGTAAAAATAGGGAAAGAATCTAATACCTGACTTTGTAAATATCTTGTCTGCAGCTGGAACAGGAAGGCTGCCTGTGAGATTAAACAGAAACAAACACTTCTCATTGACATAGAAATATAACCCATTCCCACTGTTTGTTTCCATCCTGGTTTCTAGGATACTTGTTCCCGGTCTGTGACCTCAGTCAGGACCAAACCCACCAAAACCCACACCAGACACACTGGGATGCGCTTTTTTTTTTTTTTTTTTTTTTGGACAGGCAGAGTAGACAGTGAGAGAGAGACAGAGAGAAAGGTCTTCCTTTTTTTTTTTTTTTTCTGTTGGTTCACCCCTCAATGGCCGCTGCGGCCGGTACACCACGCTGATCTGAAGCCAGGAGCCAGGTGCTTCCCCTGGTCTCCCATGGGGTGCAGGGCCCAAGCACTTGGGCCATCCTCCACTGCATTCCCAGGCCACAGCAGAGAGCTGGACTGGAAGAGGGGCAACCAGGACTAGAACCCGGGGTGCCGGCGCCACAGGTGGAGGATTAGCCTAGTGAGCCGCGGCGCCGGCCTGGGATGAGCTTCTCTAACAGCAGCCATGGCCCCAAGGTCCTGAAGGCTCTGATGGGCCTGTGGCCGCATTGCTGCCATACCCCCCGCCCCGGGACCCCAGGAAACATTCTGGGCGGCGAGACTCACGGCAGGAAAGACATTTCTTCCCCTCGTCAGCTTTTGTATTTTGCTTATGCTGCTGGACACCAGAGTGTCACAGGGTCTGACAATCGGTAAGACGGGGACAGCAGGTACGAGAAACTCAGGCTGAGCATCTATGTCAACAGAGGCGGAGGCGGGGGAGGGAGAGGCACCACCTGAGCTGCTTCAGGTCGTGAAACTTACAGGAAGAGCAGGTATAAAAATCATCACGTAGACTTGGGCTATCCTGAAATAATAATAATAAAAAAAAAACAGTCTTCAGTTAACATTACAACATTTCTGGTCATTCTGTCTTCAAATTGAACCCAGGGTATTTTTTTTTTCTAAAACTTAAAACTGCAGCTGATTTGTGTGGGAGGAATTTAATACCAATTTCCAGGGGCTGTGTCTCTGCAACCCACATCACCGTTACCCTAGGCAGGTTACATGGCTGCTTCCTAAGGGGAGGCCTGACAACCTGGCAGCTGCCAGTACTTCCCTCGCACACAAAGTGGAACGCACACAGGAAAAGGAGCCATCCCCGAACAGCGCTGAGAAGTGTTAGACAGTGACAGGACTACCTCCAGTGAGCAGGAAAGAACCTCTGCTAAAGACCACGTGCCAGGGGGTAAAGCCAGAGACCACGCTGGGACTTTAAGCTCTGACTAGCTTGGCCGCCAGCTTCCTGCTGATGGTCACAACGGGAGGCAGAGGGGATGGCCCGTGCTCGGGTCCCTACCACCCCCTTGGAAGACCCAGACTAACTTCCAGACTCCTGGCCTCAGCCCGGCCCAGCCCCGCCTGTTGTGCCCACATGTGGGGAGTGAGCCGCTGGGAGGAAGATGTCTGTCTGTTTCTGTCTCTCTGCCTTTGAAACAAATATTTAAACACAAACAAAGAAACAAATAATAATAATAATAAGCAGCCAACTACATTGCTATTTACTAGAATGCATCAAAAAATTCATGAAAAATGGAATGAAAAGTTAAGTTTCTTTTTTTTTTCCTTAAAGACTTATTTATTTATTTGAAAGTCTGAGGGGCTGTCACTGTGGCGCAGCAGATTAAAGCCCTTGCCTGCAATGCCAGCATCCTGTATGGATGCCGGTTCGAGACCTGGCTGCTCCACTTCTGATCTAGCTCTCTGCTATGCCTGGGAAAGCAGTGGACGATGGCCTACGTGCTTGGGCCCCTTGCATTGGCAGGGGAAAACCCAGAGGAAGCTCCTGGCTCCTGGTTTGGATCAGTGCAGCTCCAGCTGTTGCAGCCAATTGGGGGGTGAACCCCTGGATGGAAGATATCTCTCTCTCTCTCTCTCTCTGCCTCTCCTCTCCCTGTGTAACTGTGTCTTTCAAATAAATCAATAAATCTTAAAAAATTATTAGAAAAGAAAAAAAAGGAAGTCTGAGTTACACAGAGAGAGAAGGAGAGGCAGAGAGAGAGAAAGAGAGAGAGATAGGTCTTCCATCTGTTGGTTCACTCCCCAGTTGGCCGCAATGGCTGGAGCTGTGCTGATCTGAAGCCAGGAGCTTCCTCCAGGTCTCCCATGTGGGTGCAGGGGCCCAAGCACTTGGGCCATCTTCTACTGTTTTCCCAGGCCACAGCAGAGAGCTGGATCAGAAGTGGAGCAGCTGGGACACAAACCGGCACCCATATGGGATGCCGGCACTGCAGACGGCACTTTACCCACTATGCCACAGCGCCGGCCCCGAAAGTTAGGTTTCGATTCAAGGGCACAGTCTCTTGAGCCATCATCTGCTGTCTCACAGAGGCATTAGCAGGAAACTGGATCAGAAGCTGAGGAGCTGGGCTACGAGCTGGCTGTGTGGTATGGGATGCGGGTGTCTCAAACGGAGGTTTAACCCACTGCACCACAACGCTTGCCCCACATGAGCCCTTTGAAGTATCCTCACACCTTTGTCAAGGGAAAAAATACTGTGTGCATTTGCAGACGCAAAAACGGACACGAAAGGGAGACGGGGCCAAGGTCAGGCCACCCTGGTCCTGTGTCTTGTCACACTGGGCAGGCGTCCCCTGGCCCACAGTCACAGCTCCACCAGGTAAATGGCTGAGAAGGTCACTCAGCCGCCTGCTCTTAACCCCGGGGAATTCTGGAACTGGAGAGGCTGCTGACCTGGCGACCTCGGGGTCTTGTTTTAAGAGCAGGAGGAGGCGCTCGGTATTGATGAAGATGGCCCAGCAGGGAAAGCAACACAGCATCAAGATGAGGATCCCTCTCTGCAGAATGACCCCCACACGCTTCAGGTTCTTACCGCCGAAGGACTTTGAGAAAATGAGAGAAAGAAAGAAAGTTAGCACCACCAGGCAGGCCAGGGCCTGGGCCACCCGCCGCAAACAGCTCCTGAGACCCGGGCAGCCCTATTTCCCACTGTCCACTTCCCTTGGGGCAGCTGATGGGGCAGGCGGAGCTTCTGAGTCAGGGCTGTCTGTGAGCTAGCGGCTCCTGTGTCATTTTACCACGTGCAAGGCATCAGCCCCTGCTCCCGGGAAGGTGCAGGCACCAGAGACTGGTGGAAAGAAAAGCTAGAGGTGACCTTGGAGAGTGCCCGGGAGACGGCGTGGGCCTGGGGGCCTCTAGGGGGCAGTGCGGGGCAGGGGTGCTCAGCGGTGGAGGCAGCAAGGCCATGAGGAGGATCTGTGACCATGGAGGCCCAGGGAGTGCTTAGGAGAGCAGACCGCCAGGTGCTCACCAGCTGATGTACAGATAGGCTCGGTGGGGATGGGGAGGAATGGAAAAATATCAACGGTGGCTGAGCCGAGAGAGGGGGTCAGGACCAGGAACGCAAAGAATGTTTTCAAGATGCGTAGGGGAGGGATCATACAGGAAGGGACCAAGGAGCAGACGAGACTCAGAGCACACAATTTGCTGTTTGACAGAATGATAGGAGCCCATCGATCGGGACTGGAGCTCCCGCGCCGGGCCCCGGCAGGTCAGACCAAACCAAAACGGAGTCTCTCCAGCTAAGTGCCACGGCAGCAGCTGAAACTTTAAGGAAGCAGGTGGATCCCAAAACAGACTAGTTCTTCCTGAAAACAGGAGATCCCAGGCTGTCTGAGTCCGTGTAATGAGAAGGCCTCCTCATCTTTTGCCTGGATAGAAAAGTGACCTGAAGTAGCCTAGTGTTTGTGCATCCTTCAAGGACTCTCCCTTACTCTGCTGTTTCCTTGTCTCCACCCTACAAAGGCCACCGTTCTGCCACTGCCCTGTGGGAGGGGTCTCACGTCACTCCGTAGAGCGGAAGCTGCCAATGAAAGCCGCCTGGATCCATAACTAAATCTGTCGTAAGTTTGGATTTGGATGCGGTAAAGCTAACTCTGCTCTATTTTCAGCATTGAACTTGAAACATAAAAGGCAAAAACAAACAACAACAACAAAACGCAGTGGACAGTTTCCTAGGCAGTCTCTATTATTGGTAATTGCCAATAAGAGAGCTACCTGGGGCAAGGTGGGCCTCACCTGAGACATGAGCGTGTCGCAAGCAGAGGCTAAGCCCGTTCCAACTGAAATCCCAGTGACATTCACAACCTGCAAGAAACAACGAGCCAGGTGCATCTGTCACTGTCAACCCAGGGACCATCAAGACCGAAGGCACTACGTTTTTATATTTCAGATCAAATAATGTCTGTATCAACTGTTGAATAGACCTGGAGCCATAATCACTCTGTGTAGAACAGGGAATCTTAAATCCTAGTTTATCTTAAACAAAGCAGGGCATTAGAATTTCTGGATTGAAAGGTAAGCTGGGGCAGGTGGTTGACCGAATAGCAACACTAGCACCCCTCCTGGAAGTGCCTGGGTTTGATTCCCAAGCTCCAGTTCCTGACTTATGCTCACTCTTGAAGCCAGTGGTGATGGCTCAAGAAACTGAGTTCCTGCCACCCACGTGGGAGACCTGGATTGAGTTCCTGGCTCCCAGATTCAACTCTATAGCGTGGAGCCTACAATGAATGGGAGGGCACTTGTGCTCACTTGCTCTCTCTGATCGCAGGAAAAAAAAAAAAACTTCACACACATGAGTATTTTTTTATATTTTTTAAAGATTTATTTATTTGAAAAAAAAAATACACAAAGAGAGAAGGAGAGGCAGAGAGAGACAGAGAGAGAGCGAGGTCTTCCATCTGCTGGCTCACTCCCCAGTTGGTCGCAATGGCTGGAGCTGTGCCAATCTGAAGCCAGGAGTTTCTTCCAGGTCTCCCACATGGGTGCAGGTACCCAAGCACTTGGGCCATCTTCTACTGGTTTCCCAGGCCACAGCAGAGAGCTGGACTGGAAGTATAGCAGTGGGGACTCGAACCAGTACCCATATGGGAAGCCGGCACGGCAGACCGGGGCTTTAACCCGCTGTGCTACAGCGCCAGCCCCGAGTCTATTTTTGTAAACTTGCTGACTCTGCTTGGCTTAGAAGGCTGCTCTTCCTCTACAGCTCACAGCTTCTCCCTTGGTCAAGTCAGCTGGCCAGAGAGCTGTGACCTTGGACCCCACTGCCGACTGCTTTGCTATCACAGTTTTTATCAGACTGAGCTCTGAGAGTATAGCTCTCACTTACAATCGAGGACAGTGTGATAAAAGATGGAACAAAAACCGCTACTTTGTCTCCTGTGCCCAGCTGTCCAGGACACAGGTTTCTTCTTCCCCTCCGCCCTCTTCTCCTGGACCGAGGATTTGCTGAGTGTGCATTAGATACAAATTCCTTTTACTACTTTTACTACTCAGTGTTACAGACTGGGAAGCCCACCTGGTGCCGGGCAGGTGCGATTCCCTGGTGTGTCTTCCTTGGGAAAAGTCTGCTTTCTTGGGGAAAGTTTTATTGCCCGATGTTATTGCGCAAAAGCCATGCCCTTGGGAGAAGGTTGGGACTATCTGCAGAGCTACTGGGATGCCGGCAGGGACTTCCTAGTGTAAAATACTGGGCTGCTTCTAAGGTGCACTTCCAAGCCTGCTGCATGCTACAATTCCCTTGGGAAGAAACTCTCCCACACTGGCTAATTCCCAACTTGCATTGTTGTGTCTTGTTTAGATTGTACCTCCGGAAGTTGCTCAAACGGGGGCGGGGTGGGGGTGAGGGCGAGGGAATTTGGTCAATAGACATAAAAGGAACAAAACTTCTGAGAGCAACGCCTGCACACACAGGCCGGTCACCACTTTCGAGGCCGGGTATCAACAAACAGCTCATCTGCTGTTCCCTTTATGTTTGAGTCCGTCCTTTGTGGGTGGGTGGTCTCAGGGGGGCTTATTTCCCACAGGCACACACCAACCTTCCCACTTGTGGTCTTCAGGGCTTTCCAATGCCATTCTGGATTTGCATTTACTCTAGTCCTGCAATTCTTTTTATTTATTTATTTATTTTGACAGGCAGAGTTAGACAGTGTGAGAGAGAGACAGAGAAAAAGGTCTTCCTTCCATTGGTTCACCCCCCAAATGGCAGCTATGGCTGGCACTGCGCCGATCTGAAGCCAGGAGCTGGGTGCTTCCTCCTGGTCTCCCATGCGGGTGCAGGGCCCAAGCACTTGGGCCATCCTCCACTGCACTCCCGGGCCCCAGCAGAGAGCTGGACTGGAAGAGGAGTAACCAGGACAGAATCCAGTGCCCCGACTGGAACTAGAACCCGGGGTGTCGGCGCCACAGGCGGAGGATTAGCCTAGTGAGCCACAGCACCAGCCTCCTGCAATTCTTATATACAAAACTAGGGGGAAAAAATCTACCATCATTGAGTGATGGAGGGGGCAGAAACGTGGGAAGGAAATCACAAAACCATAGACCCTGAGACCTTAACTTAGTGTTCTCTCCAAGATATACAGGGGGCGCTTCAAAATGTCCACAGGGGGAAAAAAATGAATGAAAAGATCAAAGATAGGGAGGGGCTGGCATTGTGGCGAGGTGGGTGAGGCAGGGCACATCCCCTGTGACGCCAGCATCCCATAGGAACATTGGCTCCAGTCCCAGCTGCTCCACTTCCAACCCAGCTCCCTGTTAATGAGCCTGCGACAGCAGCAGAGGATGGCTAGAGTGCTTGGGCCCCTGCCACCCAGATGGAGCTTCTGGTTCCTGGCTTTGGCTTTGTTGGCCCTGGCCATTGCAGTCATTTGTGGAATGAACCAGCAAATGGAAGATCTCTTTCTCTCTCTCTCTCTCTGAATCTTCCCTCCTCCCTTTATAACTCTGCCTTTCAAACAAATAAATAAATCTTTAAAAAAAATAATAAATTCAGGGCTAGTGCTGTGGCATAGCGGGTAAAGCCGCTACCTGCAGTGCCAGGATCCCATATGGGCACCAGTTCAAGTCTCAGCTGTTCCACTTCTGATCCAGCTCTCTGCTATGGCCTGAGAAAGCAGTAGAAGATGGTTCAAGTCCTGGGGCCCCTGCACCCGTGTGGGAGACCAGGAAGAAGCTCCTGGCTCCTGGCTTTGGATCAGCACAGTTCCAGCCATTGTGGCCATCTGGGGAGTGAATCAGTGTATGGAAGACCTCTCTCTCTCTCTCTCTCTCTCTCTCTCTTTCTCTCTCTCTGCCTCTGCCTCTCTGTAACTTGGCCTTTCAAATAAATAAATATTTTCATAAAAAGATAAATTTGTGTTTTTTTCATAATCCATATTTTCCATGAACTTTTTGAAACACCCCATACACACAGATTTCAAGATTTTCTGCACCGAAATAAAGTTAGCTTTTAATCCCATTTGCAACAGCCTCATATTTTTAAATAATTTCGACAAAATAAAACTCTACAAAGACGCCCCACGGTGAAGCCTGAAGCCCTCAGCAGGTCACAGAATGGAAAAGGGGCAGAGAGTGCGGAGATGGCAAAAGGGTGAGGGGCGGCCTCACCTCCCCCACAGAACGCCTGCCCCAGCCAGGCGATCTCACCACGAAAGCTGACCGGAGCTCCGGCGCTCCACGGGCTTCTCAGGGTGCCCCACCCACCACCCACCACCCACAGGGGGCCAGAAGGGGCTTTTTCTGAGACTGAAAAGAAGCCACCCGCTATGGCCAGCAAGAGGAGCATTTTCTCACTTCCACTGAGAGCCTGGACGAAATGCAAAAGAGAAGCAATTTTCACCATGTCAGTAACAAACAAATAAAAATCCGTGCACAAAAGAGCAAAGCCGGTGTCATTTCAATCCACGGCGGAAGGGTGAAATAAGGCTACCACGGGGAACCGTGTAACTCGATAATGGTCTGCAGGTTTGCTGGTTTCTGTGGCTTCTTGGCCAATGGCTGCGAGCTCCTCGCTGGACCCGCAACCTCTGCCACGAACGCGGGCCCAGATGCGTGCGGGGCACGCAAGATGCCTCTCTTCGGTGTGGGCTCCGCGGCGCTCTCCACACCAGAGGCCCGAGGAGCAGGCGGGTCGCGGGTCGCGGGTCGCCACGAGGGAGAAGCCGCGGGGGCCGACGCGCGCGGGGCCCGCCGTACCGGGGGCAGATGGGCAGCACCTACCGAGACGGCGAGGGTGACGGCGTCCAGCTCCACTTTGCCCAGGTGTCCGCAGAAAATGGAGCTGACCAGGCTAATCAGGAAGATCATCAACTGGGCAAGGAACTGCGAGGGGAACAGAGAGGCGCGCGGCTCGACCCCGGGACTCCCCGCCGCCGCGCACGCCAGCACCGCACCGGGTGAGGGGGCCGGGGGCCGGGCCGGGGAAGCCACGCACTCACCACAGGGCCCGCCAGCGCCGCCAGCGCCGCCGCCTCCCGCCGCAGGTCCGGGGACAGCGCGCCCCGCAGGCGCCTCAGACCGCTGCGCCAGCCGGGGGAGCCCCGCACCTTGCGGGGCTGGTGCGCGGCGGCGGCGGCGGCGGGCGCGAGGGGCTTCCCGCCAGCGCGGGGAAGGGGCTCCATGCGGGCGCCTGAGTGCGAGGGCGGTGAGGCGGGAGGCGGGAAGCGGGAGGCGGTGGCTCGGGTCCCAGCCGGCCCCGCGCCGCCGTCCCCGAATCCCACTCCCACGCTCACGCCCGCCCCGTCCAACCGTCGCCGCCTCCCGCGGGACCCCGGGCGCGGGGTGCGGGGCGCGCGCCGCGCTCGAGGGAACCCGAAGTTCTCTGAGGAGACTGTCCGTGGGAAAAACAAAACGTGGGCCAGAGAAGGCCGAGGGGGCCACCCCAGCCCTCCACCCCCGCCGACCCCGCTTCGCTCTCTTTTAGGGGGCGTTTCTGACCCACCTCACCACCACCATCACCACGTCCCCCCATCCCGCTCCTCAGGGTTCAAGTTCAGCTACGCTGGACGGGCCCCGGGGACCGCCTGCCAGTGCGGCCTCCAGGGTTGGAGGAGCCTTGGTGTCCCCCGGGACCTGGCTAGGGGCAGAGTCCAGGGTCCAGGTCCCTGGAGGCCCCTCTAGGTGGCCCTTGAGCAGAAGGGAGAGTGTGTGGTCTCTCTCCCGGAGAGCTGAGGGAGGGGGCGTCAGTGTCCACCCTGAAAGCCACGTTCAGCGCAGGCCTTCGCACCCAGGGCAGTGCCCTGAGCTGGAGACAAGAAGCCTTGTGAGGGCCCTGGCCATGATCCGCAGGGGTGCTGGGCTCTCACAGAAGCTGGCATTTCTGATTTGGTTCCTTATCTGTTCTTCCAGGACAAAGCCGCGCCCCCGGCTCTTGTAACCATCCCAGCAGGGGCCTGTCCCCAGCCCACGGTGAGCTTGCCGAGCTCACAGCGTGTGCCTTCCCCGGGAAGCGGCACTTGCTACAGGAGATGCTTGGAACAGAGGTTCCTTAAACAGACGTGAGACAGGACGGAGGTAAGCAAGGGACAAGGCTTAAAGAGCTCAGAACGGACGGGCAGCTCTCCACAGCGCCCAGGCTACATTCAGATTGGGGTTTCTGAGGGTGTGGGGTGCACTTCTTCCCACCACTCCCCCTCACTCCCAGCCATTCTCCTAGACAAAGGGTTAGCTGGGTGTGAGATCAGTGAAATACCTCCCATGGTTTTGTTTGGTTACCCAGTGTAGGATGGGGGAAGACCACCTATAAGGTTACTGGAGCATAGGCAGGTCTTCCTAGTGTAAAATACTGGGGCTGGAGCTGTGGCCTGAAGCCCCGGCATCCCACATGGGCGCCAGTTCGAGACTCGGCTGCTCCACTTCTATGGCCTGGGAAAGCAGTAGAAGATGGCCCAAGTCCTTGGGCCCCTGCACCCGGATGGGAGACACAGAGGAAGCTCCTGGCTTTGGATCAGCACAGATCTGGCCGTTGCGGCCAATTGAGGAGTGAACCAGTAGATGGAAGACCTCTCTCTCTCTCTCTCTGTGTGTGTAACTCTGACTTTCAAATAAATAAATAAATCTTTTTTTAATTTTTTTTATTTTTTAATTTTTTTTTTGACAGGCAGAGTGGACAGTGAGAGAGAGAGACAGAGAGAAAGTTCTTCCTTTGCCATTGGTTCACCCTCCAATGGCCGCCGTGGCCGGCGCACCGCGCTGATCCAATGGCAGAAGCCAGGTACTTATCCTGGTCTCCCATGGGGTGCAGGGCCCAAGGACTTTGGCCATCCTCCACTGCACTCCCGGGCCACAGCAGAGAGCTGGCCTGGAAGAGGGGCAACCGGGACAGAATCCGGTGCCCCGACCGGGACTAGAACCTGGTGTGCCGGCGCCGCAAGGTGGAGGATTAGCCTAGTGAGCCACGGCGCCGGCTCCAAAATGTGAGATTTTAAATCTTAATGAATTTATATTTCAATTTTAGTTTCTGGCAGATTATTTTTGCAAAAGTGTGCTATTCCTATTCCTAGGCTGCTACATGCCCTTCCACGGGTACTCTGTTTTGCTTAGGCCCCCTGGCTTCTGTCTTCCTGCCTAACAGGATGAAGTAGGGATACTGCTTAGGCTAAGGCCTATAGTGACACCATCCTCCAGTGCCACCCTCCACATCACTGGCAGAAAGGACCAGTTCTTGGTCTACCTCAGTTTCCAACTATTTCCTGTGCCCGCAGTGCCTGAGACCCAGTTCCCACTGGTAGCTTTGGGATCCACAAGGAGGGAAGGCCTATACTTCCGGGAATGGAGGAGGCCTGTACTTCTGGGGAAGAAAAGTCCTTGTCAGGGTCCCCGCGGGTGCCTAAAGGTCAACCAATGAGGATCAGACCCGCCTCAACCTTTAACCCCCACGCCCTGTATCTACAAAAGGCGCTCTCCCAATCTCTGGGGGGGGTTTTCCGGGCCCCCCGCCCCCCCCCCCCCCCCCCCGTTGGGACTGGGGAACCTCGCCCGGGAGCGGAATCCCAATAAAACTTGTGAATTAATTGATTTGTCTGCCTGGGAAGATTGGTTACATGCCGGATACCTTGCACCCACATGAAGACTGGCAGATGCCAGGGGCCCGTGGAATAACAATTCAAGACGCAGGGAAGGTTTCTTGTAAAATATATTTTAAACAGGAAAGATATTCTGTAAAAGATATTTTGTGAAAGATCTTTTAAACAGTTCACTCATTAAGAATTTTGTATATAGGTTTGTAACGTCAAAGGCAGGAAGCAGAAGCAATGCAAAGCCACGGACCATTGCAAAGAGGACAAGGTAGGCCTCGGTTGAGTCAGTCTTGGGTGAATTATTATTATCCAGTGTCACCTTGCAGACAGCGTCCTGGGCCAGAGTGAGTTTTTTAACTTTGCCTGCATTTCCTCCTTATGCAGATCTGTCTTTGAGTGCGCATCCTCAAAACCCGAAATCTATGGTGCTACTGGATTAGATGAACACAGTTAATTACTACTGCGGTGCTTATGAATCGGAAGACGTCCCAGCTTACAACAGTTCCACTTCAAATGGTCTGACTTCAGAATGTGAGCGCATTAATTAATGATACTGAGTTCATTCATAATTAATGAGAGCGTTAAGCTTTCTGGAGAGATTGTATATGTTTTGGCTTTGGGTCTTGTCTCAAACTCTGAGCAGCTCGCCATCAGCCACACGGTCACAAGGTCAAAGCAGTGAGATTCTCAAGTGTGCTGTGCTACAGAGCTGCAAGGTTCAGTTGGTGCAGGGGATTCAACGCGTTGGCCATTTACAGTCTTGTCAACTGAGGATGGATCCACGGAGACAGACCCCCTTTGGAAGTCTAGTGCATAGTATCACGTGACCGGCCTCCAGCCACATCACTGGGTTCTGACATATACTTTCACTAGAATCCCCGCGAGCAAGACTAAAATGACTCCCAGCAGGAGGAGCCCCCGCCGCAGCGCCAGCTGTTTCCCAGACAAATGCGCGCTATCCTCAGGGCGGACCGGAAGAGGCAGCTCTGGGTGCACCTGCTCGTTCAACTCAGCCCCTTCCTTTCTGTCAGCATCTCTCAGGACAATTCCACCATGGCTGTCAGGGCCCACTTGGGGGAGAGAGAAACTCAATTAGCATCTTAAGAGGAATTTGTTCTTCCATTTGTATGAGAAGGGATACATATATGTGCTAATAACTGAGAGGAAGTTCAGGAAGTAGTTGTTACAGCGACTAAACAGAGAAATCCTATCTCCCAGTGGCTCGCTTTTTCACACACTGATGATCCCATTGTAGTCAGTGTCCATGCTTCCGGGAGCATGCCCCCAAGAGCTAGGTTACCAGTCATAGGTGCGATCTCCAAGGGGCCAACGTTCTACGTATTTCAGAAAGAGAACAAAACAAATGGAGGGGCCAGAGTGGTGGCACCGTGGGTTAAGCCACCACCTGCGATGCTAGCCTCCCTTATGAGTGCCGATTTGAGTCCAGACTGTTCCACTTCCAATCCAGCTCTCTGCTATGGCCTGGGAAAGCAGTAGAAGATGGCCCAAGTGCTTGGGCCCCTGCATCCATGTGGGAGACCAGATAGAAGCATCTGACTCCCAGCTTTGGATCAGTGCAGCTCCGGCCATTGCGGCCATCTGGGAAGTGAACCAGTGGATGGAAGACCTTTCTCTCTGTTTCTACCTCTCTCTGTAACTCTGTCTTTGAAATAAAATAAAATAAATCTTTAAAAAAATGCTCTCAAGAGTTCTGAGGGGAAATCATTTCTAACAATGCCACATAACATGTTTGCCCTGCGTGAAGCTGTTCTCAGTACTCAGTACACTGGCGAAATCACAGGGCTCAGTTTTGCTGCTTCGAGTCCTCATTTGGTTTGTCCCGTCTCCCATGTGCACGTTATCTTTGATGATGTCACAGACTCTTTATGTGGAAATTGTTTCAGGAGTAATTTGAGACAGGACTGGCATTGTGGTACAAAAGGTTAAGCTACCCCTTGGACACCAACACCCCAGGTAGGAACTCTAACTCAGTCTGGGCTGCTCCACTTCCAATCCAGCTCCCTGCTGATGTGCCTGAGAAAACAGCAGAAGATGGCCCAAGTACCTGGGTTCCTGCCACCCACATGGTCTCCCTGAATGGAGTTCCTGGCTCCTGACTTCTGCCTGGCCCAGCCCCGGCTGTTGTGGGCCTTTGGGGAGTGACCCAGCGAAGGAAGTTGTCTTTCTCTCTCTCTCAGTGACCCAGCAATGTACGATCTGCCCCCTCCTCTTGTCACACTGTCAAATCTTTAAAAACAGATTTATCCAGTGCATACACTCACAAGAGTTTAAATTATAAGGGGGTATTGGGGCTCAGGCCACATCACCCCAAAACATAACTGTTGGAGACCAGAATATGCCACCCAAAAATAAGACTAATTTGGCACATTTCCAGCTGGGTACAACTGTGCATCTTCTTGTAAAATACATGCACATCTATTAAGGAAAGTTGTATTAGTAGTGTATGTAAGAAAGAGACACTTTTATTGCCCGAGACACTTCCCCTGCCTGGCAAGACCACCTTCATTCCCTACATCTCCTGCCTTCACCCTCCCACACCCCGAGTCACCACCACCACTCAGAAACCCCAGCCCCGTTCCTTTCTGTAGCTCTACACTCTCTGTGTCAATGAGCTCACCCTTCCTGCAGTCTCATATTTTGTAGACACATATGGTTAATTGAGCTTTTGTCAACTTAATCTGTAGCCCAGCCCAAGAACCTAGGAAGGTGAAAGAAAGTCATTTTCCCAGTCCCATATGAGTGGAAGATACTGTGAGTGCTTGACCCATGGGACTAGGGAGGTAGAAGGAAAGATGACCGCTTGCCATGGTTCTCATCAATGCCCATGGCTGCTTGCCTGATGAACACGAGACCCCATGAAAACAAACATGCAAATGGCAGTTTCCAAGCTAGACTCATAACACAGGATGGCCAGATATCAGAAATGCCTATACATGGAAAGCCAAGACACTGTGGCAAAAAATGATCTACACGAAGGATCTCTGTGAGTGAGACCTCAGTGGAAAGAAGGGGCCATCAAAGAAGGATGTACTTTTCTCTGAAGGGAGAAGAGAACTTCCACTTTGCTTATAGCCTTGTCTAAATACTGACAGAGTTTTGGACTCAAAAGGCCTCCACAGCCTTGGCAGCTCATGTCAAGAGCCTCAGGTGATCACTGAAGTCATAAATAAGAGTGTCAATTGTTAAATCAACAACAGGAGTCACTGTGCACTTGCTCCCCATGTAGGACCTCTGTCCTTAATGAATTGTACTATGAGAATTAACAGTAAAAGTTGTTTTCAAACAGTACTTTACACTTTGTGTGTCTGTGTGGGTTCAAACTTTTGACATCTTTACTTAATATAGAGTTGGTCTTCTGTATATAAAGTGAATTAAAAAGAAATCTTAATGAAGAATGGGATGGGAGAGGGAGTAGGAGGTGGGATGGGAGTGGGAACTCTTGAGAGGGTGGGTATGGGGGGGGAGAACCAGTATATTCCTAAAGCTATACCTATGAAATTTGTATTCATTAAATAAAAGCTGTCTTTAAAAAATTCAATTAAAAAAGGCAAGAGAGAGAGTGAGAGAGAGAGAGAGAAATGCCTATAATAAAATCCTGATGAAGTGCCACAAATTACTGGAGGACTGGTGACCCTTGAGTCACCTACAGTGAGCTGTTCGTGTGTGGGATTGACACTAACACACTGTAAGTCAATAAACCCCCGACTGGGTGTTCCTTGACATGTGTTTCTGAAACATGACTGCCCTATTTAAATGGAAGTTCACAGTAGCAAAGCCAGTGTCCCACAGAGGGCCCCTTAAGCCCCCCCACCCCGCTCAAGCAAGGCTGGCCCAGAGTCCTAGGAGGTCCCTCCTACCTGGGTGAGGCTGGTCTGGGAGGACAGCAGAATTCCCATTCGAGGCCGTATTTACTGTTAAATTGGCATGGACCCGAGCCTAGGAGATGAAACTCGAGTAAGTCCACAAGGTTTTTACGGCAGTGCTACGAAGACATTCGACTCCACCCCCAGTGTAGGAGGAGTCAGGCCAGGACCCTCCCCTGACAGGTGACATAGAAGCTCCTCCAGGTCACAGGCACGGACGTGCCCTTCACAATGACTGAAGTGTGGGTGCTGTCGGGAGGTGGGGGGCACTGCAGAGGGATGGAGAGGACAGGCACCGAGCGCTTCCAACTCTCCCTTCTGTTTTTAATTCTCCTTTTTCTCCTACCTCTGTCCAGACCCCACATTGACCCAGAAAGCTAATGAAAAGAGTGATACACAACAAGTATCTTAACAGCATTTGGGGATCATAACAAACAGTAGGAGGAAGTTTATGCTTCTCATCTTTCTTCCCAGGGACAATTTTTTTTCTTTTCTTTTTTAAAGACAAGACACTGACACATACAGAGCTCCTATCTGCTGGTTCACTCTGCAAACGCCCACGATGGCCAAGGAATGGGGCGGGGCGGGGGGGCTGAAGCTGGGAAGAGGGAACTCAATCCGGTTCTCCCATGTGAGTGACAGGAATCCAATCACTTGAGCTGTCATCTCCCAGAATCTGCTGTTGGAGGAAGCTGGAGTCGGGAGCCAGGGCTGGGAACCAAACCCCAGCATCCCAGGTGGATGAGCGTCCTAAAAAACAGCTTCATTACTGGGCCAGATGTCTGCCCCCGGTGCCAATTCTTATCCTGAAATTGGCTTTTCTGGCGCAGGGGAAAGCCTAGCACGAGACGCAAGGAAGAAAAGAACTTTCCTTTTTGCCTTTCATTGAATAAAACAAAGGGAAACAGATAAAGCCAGGGGCATATGGCCCTTCACATCTGAATTAGATCTACTGAAAATAGGGGCTGGCACAGCACCATGGGTAAAGCCGGCACCATGGGTAAAGCCGCCTCTCGTCACACCAGTATCCCATGTCAGAGTGCCGGTGTCAGTCCCAGCTGCTCCACTTCTGATCCAGCTCCCTGCTGATGCTCCTTGGAAAGCCGCAGAGGATGGCCCAAGTCCGTGGGCCCCTGCCACCCACATAGGAGACCTCGAGAGGGTTCCAGACTCCTGGCTTCAGCTTGGCCCAGTCCCTGGCCTTGGCAGCCCTTTGGGGAGTGAATCAGCAGGTGGAAGATCTCTCTGTCTCTCCCTCTCTCGTACTGCCTTTCAAATTAATAAATCTTTAAACATAAATCTGCTGAAAATAACAAACCAAAAAATAGCCTTCATGATAAAAGAGAAAACCCCAGAATGAAAGAGGCACCAAAGTGGATCCCAGCTGCAGCCTAGAAACGCAGCTTTGACTGGGACAGCAGTGAGCCTTCGTTACCTGTTGGCAGGCTTTTGTCCAATTTAGCCGAGCAATAAAGCCGAGAAAACACACAGCCTGAGAGACAGCACAGACGACGATCCCTAACCACAGGCCTAGGAATGGAAAGAAGAGAGGTCACTGTGGTAGGAACCCACTGGCCACCCCTAGGAATTATTTCTGCCACCCCACTTCCACCTGCCATGCTGAAAATCTGCTTTCAAGTCTGAGGC